GCCTCATTTTTCCTTTGAGCAGATCCCTCTGGTCTCATCCTCCACCTCTTAAAACATGAACCGATTCAGGTACAGTCCAAATGCAAATGTCCCATGTGTTTGTTGGAGCAGGGTCTGAGGTGATGGGGCTGAGAGCTGGGCTAGAAACCTTGAGAGTCTGCCTCTTAACTCCACTGAGTAGGGAAGATGAGCCTGGCACAGGGACCTGGCACTGCCGCACCCCCAGCACTTGGGCCTCTGGCCAGAAGACCTAGTTTTCTTGAGAAAACACAAGTACCAAGTCCTGTCCTGCTCCGAGGCCCATCCCAGCAGAAGGAATAGCAGTGCTTGCCCCTTGGCAGCAGGGCAGGGACTAATCTGGTGTTTCTTCCTCCCATGCAGGACATGCCTGGTTGCTGAGCAGAACTGAGGAGCAGGCTGCTGAGGAAGGGCCTGAAAAGCTGGAGCCACCATGGGCTTCCCTGGGGAGTATGGGTGAGAATGTAGCAGTGAATGTGGTCCCATCTCTAGTTGGGCATTGGAGTGAAGAAGGGAAAGAAGCCAGTAAAAGCCCAAGGTGCAGGGATGAATATGTCATGCTGAGACACCTGAAGAGGCAGAAAGCAAAGGTGCACTGGAGAGAGACACTGCATGCAAACCAAGGCAGTGTTGGGGGTCTCAGAGGGAAGCAGGAGCTCACTGCCAAGCCCAGGGGGAGATCCCACTCCTGCCCTCAGTGCAGGAAAAGAGCTAGCTGCCCCTCACGCCTGGCTCTGCACAAGATAAGGCACACTGGAGAGATGACCCATGTACGCGCCACGTGTGGGAAGAGCACCTGCCTGTCGACCCTGGCTGCTCACCACCGGATCCATTCTGGACAGCTCCCCCACCGCTTCACCAAAAGGGGGAAGAGCTTTGTGCTGCTCAAAACCCAGGATGTGCACAGGAAGAAGCGTCAGTACCGCTGTGTCACATGTGGTAAGACCTTCACCCATTTCTTCTCCCTGGTTCAGCACCGTCGGATGCACTTGGGGAGGAAGACACACCGCTGCACCGAGTGCAGGGAGAACTTCATCAGCTGGCAAGGCCTGTCCCAACACCGGTGTGTGCAGAGGAGGCAGCAACCACACTGCTGCACGAAGTGTGGCAAGAGCTTCAGGCAGCCGTCCAGCCTGGCCAGGCACAGGTGCATGCACACACGGGAGAAGCCGCATCATTGCTCTGCGTGTGGGAAGAGCTTCATCTCCTCTTCCAAGCTGCCCCAACACCAGGTTATCCACACAGGGGAAAAGCCACATCAGTGCTCTGCATGTGGGGAGAGCTTCACCCACTCTTCCACCCTGGCCCGGCACAAGTGCATCCACACAGGGGAGAAGCCATATCATTGCTCTGAGTGTGCGAAGAACTTCACTCGCTCATTCAGCCTGGCCTACCACCAGCACAGCCACACAGGGGAGAAGACACATCAGTGCTCTGAGTGTGGGAAGCGCTTCAGTTATTCCTCCCACCTGGCCAAGCACCAGCGCATCCACACAGGGGAGAAGCCGTATCAGTGCTCTGAGTGTGGGAAGAGCTTCATCCAATCCTCCCACCTGGCCCAGCACAAGCGCATCCACACGGGGGAGAAGCGACACCAGTGCTCTGAGTGTGGGAAGAGCTTCACTCGCTCCTTCGGCCTGGCCTACCACCAGCACGTCCACACAAGGGAGAAGCCACATAGGTGCTCTGAGTGTGGGAAGAGCTTCAGTTATTCCTCTGAGCTGGCCCGGCACCAGCGCATCCACACAGGGGAGAGGCCATATCAGTGCTCTGAGTGTGGGAAGAGCTTCAGTTATTCCTCCGAGCTGGCCCGGCACCAGCGCGTCCACACAGGGGAGAAGCCATATCAGTGCTCTGAGTGTGGGAAGAGCTTCCGTTATTCCTGCCACCTGGCCGTGCACCAGCGCGTCCACACAGGGGACAAGCCATATCTGTGCTCTGTGTGTGGGAAGAGTTTCAGTTGTTCCTCCTCCCTGACCAAGCATAAGCACATCCACACAGGAGAGAAGCCATATCATTGCTCTGAGTGTGGGAAGAGTTTCAGTTGTTCCTCCGAGCTGGCCCGGCATCAGCGCATCCACACAGGGGAGAAGCCGTATCAGTGCTCTGAGTGTGGGAAGAGCTTCAGTTATTCCTCCCACACCAGCGCGTCCACACAGGGGAGAAGCCATATCAGTGCTCTGAATGTGGGAAGAGTTTCAGTTCTTCCTCCCACCTGGCCAAGCACCACCGCATCCACACAGGGGAGAAGCCATATCTGTGCTCTGTGTGTGGGAAGAGTTTCAGTTATTCCTCCTCCCTGACCAAGCATAAGCACATCCACACAGGAGAGAAGCCATATCATTGCTCTGAGTGTGGGAAGAGCTTCAATTATTCCTCCGAGCTGGCCCGGCACCAGCGCATCCACACAGGGGAGAAGCCATATCAGTGCTCTGTGTGTGGGAAGAGCTTCACCCAATCCTCCCACCTAGCCAAACACCAGCATGTCCACACAGGGGAGAAGCCACATCAATACTCTGACTGTGGGAAGAGTTTCAGCATCCCTTTCAACCTGGCCCGGCACCGGCGCATGCACAAAGGGGAGAAGCCACATCATTGCTGTTAGTGTAGGAAGAGGTTCTACTCCTGCAGCCTGTGCTGAACACCAGTGCATCTACACAGGGGAGAAGCTACATCAGTGCTCTGAGTATTGGAGAAGCTTCACCCATCTCAGCACCCACCAGTGGTGCATTCAAACCAGCTCCCTCATGCTCGTGGCCTGCAGAAAGAGTTCCCCCAGGCTTTGCCCCTTGTAGGAAACTGTGTGAGTCTAGAGCCCAGACGCTGGCCCCCAACATATGGTTGGGGGCATGAGCTAAGAGGAAACACTTCATGCAGAGGTCAGCCCCAATGTGTGGGGAGGAGACGAGGAGGAGATGATCTTTGCATCAGCCTTGGAGCCTGTGCATTCCCCGTCATTCTCTAACAGTATTCCCAGGGGAAGAAGTGCCTTCACGCTAGGGTGCCCTCTCCCAGACGGCTGACTTCAGATGACACCCGGGGACTTTCCTTGGCTGCCTCCCAGCTTTCTCCTTCCTCCTGGTCCAGGGGTTCTGGTATATGAGCCCCTGAGTTGCAAGGAGGAGAGCATTTATGGCTGAGGAAGCATTCCCTACCCTCCTCCCTGACCTCGCCTTTCCTCACCTCCCCATCACCCCTCTTTCAGACCTGCCCATGCCCCGTGGGGTCTGCAACGAGCTGCCACCTCCGGAGTCTTTTTGGCCTGTTTTGCTCTTCAGCCTCTGTAGAAGTGTGCACCACGGGGTGCGTGCTGCTCCCCTGCCCTCCTCCCCTTTGTTGTATTCTCTCTCATGCATTCCCTGCTACTAAAACCCCCGAATTGGACATGCCACCTCTGTGGTTGATCTCTGCCTTCTCATGAGCTGTGCAATGTGAACAGGCCAGGGACCACAACCCTTTCCAGGGCAGATCTCTCTGTGCCTTCCAGCCCCTTCTCTTTTCAAATGATTCACCACAATCTGAAGGTTGTTGCTAAGCCTTGGGAGCAGGAGGTGGTCTGATCTACCCCCCCTGCTGCTAACTGACTAGCTGCTCCCACCCACTTCTGCCCTCTTCACACAGCAGGACCCAGAGTTGGGTGAGCCAGGACCACAGGGTGAGCAACCCTGGGCGAGCGACTGGCCACAGGCTCAACAGGTGCCCCAAGCCAGCCCCGTCTGCCCTGTTCCTGCCCTCACCCACTGCAGCCACCCATCTGCCCCATGGAGGTGACTGGGGGAGTGGGGGGCAGTCTGTGCATGGTGCCAGCTCCAGGGCGGTGTCTCCCCCCTTGGGAGAGCAGGTTCTCCACACCGCTGCCAGCATCCCCCAACATGCGGTGCTGGAGCAGCTATCAGGGTCAGGACAGGTGGTGTGTGCTGGGCCTGGGGTGGGGCATTGGGCACAGGCTGTCCAGACAAACATGGGGGAATCAGGCTGAGTTTGTCCCCGCTTGAGGTTGGCGGGTTGCAGCTGCAGCCCCTGCAGATTCAGGGGCAGGGCTGGAGGTGGGGGCATTACTGCCTGTGCCCTGCAGAGCAGGGGGCACCAGATGGGGCAGTGGGGAGATGCACATTGACCTGTCGCAGATGCTGGTGTCTGTCCCATGTGGGATCTGTGTTCAGTTGGGCAGGTGTGAAGGAGGCAGGGTAGGCAGAGGTGATACCTCATTGCCCTGCAGGTGGCATCATCATGGGGGAGGCATACCTCCACCTGGGGTATGTATGAGGCACACCTAAAAGTGGGACTCGGGTGTCCACACTTCCGTGGGGCAGGTGTGATAGGGGCTGTAATGGGGCAGGGGGTGCTATACCGCCATTGTGCAGCAGGGGGTGCTGTGGGGGTGCCTGTGCTCATGTGGGGCAGGTGTGGGGTGGGCTGTCATGGGGTAGCAGGGTGTGAGAACCCCCATCTTTTCCTCTCTCCTACTTGCACTCCCCACCCCTGAGCCCAAAGAAGTCCAAGGCCAACTGGTGACCCCAGTCCCTGCAGCCCCGGGGGATCTGCAGGGGGCTCGGCTCCATCCCAGGGATTCCTCCTCAGCCCCACAATGGATCCGACCCCCTGGTCAGACCAGTACAGACTGGGGAGCTTTGCCTGCCTTTCTAGTGTGATCCCGGCCTCTACCTGGGATCCCTGGGGTGTGGATTACCAACCTGTCGCAGCAGCAGGAGGATGAGCACCGTGGCCCCGCTGCTTTTCCAGGGTCAGGACCAGGTGTGATGTCTGCTCTGTGTCAGGCGTGTGGCAGTTTGGCTAAGAAGTGCGATGATGGGTGTGTCTGGGCTGGTTTGGACAGGGCTGATTCTGACTTGGGCAGTGGCTGGACTGGAGGTGAGCTCTGCAGGCCCCCTCAGCCCCTCTCTTCCAGGATTTCCATGATGAGAACGTCCCCTAGAGCCGCGGCGCCCAACCTTTTAGACTGCGGACTTAAGCCCATTCCCTTCCACATCAGCCCTCACATTTTCCATTGCTTTCTTCACAGTGGCTGGCCATGGAGCTAGTGCTCTCATTGAACTCTCCACAATCACTCCCAGGTCTCTTTCCTGTGTGGTAACAGCTCACGTGGAGCCCGTTGTGGTGTCAGTCCCATTTATACAATTCACATTCATTTGTGTTCCTGGCCCATTCCACTCAGATCGTGGCCCCGTGGCCAATAGAGTAGGGAAACTGAGTCATGGGGAACCAGTGCAAAGCCCCGCACTTGGGAGGGAATAATTGCACTCACCAATCCAGCCTGAGGAACGTATAGCCGGGTTGTAGCCCTGCAGAGATGATGTTGGGGGGAGCCAGGGACCATGAGCTGGATCCGAGCCAGCCCTGTGCTTTGGTGGTAAAAGAAATCAGCATCCTCCTGAGCGGCATGAGCAGGAGCGCCCCTTGCAAACCAAAGGCAGGGATCCTCCAGCACGGGGGAGACCTCCCCTGGAGTCCTGGCTCCGGTTCGGGACCCCGCACTTCCAGAAGGAGGTGGACAGGTTGGAAAGAGGCCAGCAAAGAGGGACCCAAAGGATGAAGGGCCTGGGAGGCAGGGGTGGGGAGGACAGGCTGGAAGAGCTCAGTTGCTTGAGTCTGGAGAAGAGACGATTGAGTGGAGTTTGACCCCAGTTTTGGTGCAACACCAGAGAAGATGGAGACGGGCATTTCTCCGTGTCTGTCAGGGACAGGACTAGGAGCAGTGGTCTGCAGCTGCAGCAGGGGAAACTGAGGCTGGAGAGGAGGAGGAATGGGCTGGCAGTGCCCCGCTGGAGCTGCAAGGGGCTTCAATGAACTCAGGAGATGCCGGGCAGAAAGTGCCTCCACTACAGGGGAAACCTGGCCCTGCTCCCTCTCTCCACCTCTGCTCACCACCTCCAGCAGTCCAGGAAGGGTGTACACACATGCCCACCCCATGATGCAGGGTAGCGTGCGTGCACACACACACACACACACACGCACACACCCCCATGCAGGAGGGTGGGCATAGAAACACATGCAAGCCCTCTGCAGAAAGGGATGCATGCGTGTGTGAACACACACCCCGTACGGGAAGGCGGACGTGTGTGCACCCCTGTGCAGGAGGATGGGCACACCCCACCATGCAGGAGGGCATGCACACACACATACACACCCCATGCAGCAGGGCAGACAGGTGCACACGTACCCCCTCCACCGCAGGTTGCCCCCAGGTGGGCGCGACTGGACAGCAGGGCCAAGGGAGGGGAAGGGGAGCTGCCAGGCCACCCCCTCTGTCTGCTCCGTGCAAGCCCCACCAGGCCGGCACTGCCGCCTGCTGCTGGGGAAACTGAGGCTGGAGAGGAGGAGGAGAGCCCTGTGCTCGTGTGGAGGGGTGTGCTCTGCGTGTGCAAGGGGCAATGGGGTTTGGGCCTGGGGGACAGAAGGTGTGCACTCTGGGTGTGCAAGAGGCAGGGGAGTCTGGGCCTGGGGGAGAGATTTTGTGTGATCTGAGTGTGCAAGGAGTAGGGTAGTCCGGGCCTGGGGGAGACAAGGTGTGCTTTGTGCCCTGGCACTGCTGCCCGGTACCATGGCGCCTGTCCAGGGCCCAGGACATGGCTCCGGGCCCAGCTACGTCCAAGGCCATGTGGAAACAGGAGCGGCTCCTGGGACTGGATCCGTGGGGCAGGAGTGGGGGCCGTGTCCTGGCCTGCGGGGCTGGACCCCCTTGTTTGCACTTGCTAGGGCTCTGAGTTCCCTGCTGCCCCCACCCCAGGCTCCACCTGCGTGAGGCTGCGCTCAAGCATTGCCCGTGTGTGGGGGAAAGCACGAGTGTGATTTGGGTGGGAGCAGACATGGGGAAGCAGGCCCCTGCTCCCTGTGCATGCTGTTTGCTGCGGCTGAGGCCGGGTGCCTGGGGACCATCCTTTCTATGCTGGAGGGAGCTGAGGCTCAGGCAGGGCTGTCCCGGGACTGGCTCTGAGGTGTTTCAACTTCCCCGTCCTCCCCCCGTGGTGTCAAGTCATCACTGCAAAAATACTGCACAGCTTCTGGTTGAGTTTTACCAAGCCAGGCAACCAAACACCTCCCATCCTGGGAAAAGAAAAGAAAAGAAAGGAAAAACTCTTGGCTGCCAGGGATCAACTGAGCAACTCCTCACCTGAAGGATCTCTGCCAGGAAGGATCTGGAGGGACATTGCATTTCAATATGGATCCAGGAAGAGGCAATTGCCATTTACACCAGCCTAACATATCTACAAAGGACAAACCAGAGTACGGCACAGGTTCATCCTAGAAAACTGATCCACTTTTTATCTGCAGACCCAGAGTCTTTACCTGCGCCCGTCAGCCTGGCACGTGAAGGGCACGCGTCCTTGCAGCCCACCCCGGGCTCCCCGTACACAATTGTGGGTCTCCTCCACTCCATCTGCCTTGGCACGTTTATTCTGGTGGGAACCTGACAGGCTTCAGTGCCCAAAAGGAGACGGGGGGAGAAGAAAACACCGGGTTTAGAGAAACCCACTTGCAGAAGAGAAGGGCAGGGGCATTTGGACATCCACAGAAAGGGGCTGCAGAAAAAGGAGGTGCTGTCCTGCAAACCACTCAGGAACTACGAGCCATCAGGTGAACAGTGAATAAGTACACGGCAAATTACAGGCGTCGTTCCCCTGTTGCACATCCAGGAAGGCAGGCAGGGATCTGCTCTCCAGCCCAGCCCAGGGGAGCTTCGGGTGTCGGGAGCAGGGGATGCAGCGACCCTTCAGTGCAGCTGGGTTTTATGGTGCGATCGTGTCGTGGCTGTAAAGTCCAGGCAGGCAGGGCTACGAGAAGGGGCCTTAGCACCTGAACCCCCCAGTGTCTTACCTTCACATGGCTGTTGATGGGCTGGAGGAGCGCCCCGAGCACAGGATGCTCCGTCTCCATCACAGCCTCCATCTCCCAGCTCCGTCACACCAGGGCACGCAGGAACTGCTGCAATCTCACGTCCAAGCCCGAGAAGAGTCACCCGCAGCTCCCACCTCTCACGAAAATCTCAGCAGCTCTAAAAGAATAAAATAAAGTACAAATGAAAAGGCAGCCAAGACAGGAACTGCGTTGCTTAGCTCTGCATGTGCCTGTGCCAAAGAAAACTCATCTCAGTGGTACTAGTCAGTCCTGCTCCTACCAGCAGCTCCCAAGAAACCCCCAAAATGCCCCAAGATTTAAAACCCAGCTGCTCCTACCCCTCCCCTCCCAACAAAATCCACCGCAGGGCAGAACGGATCGTGCCCATGGGCAGGACCTGACCTGCTATTTCAATTGACACCAACACAGTGAAACAGGAGGCAGAAAGAAAAGGAAAGCCCTGAATGCACCAGACCAGAGAGAGAAGCCGAGCACATCTCGGTGGGATGCCACAACCCAAGAGCTGCAGCGGGACCAGAGCTGCTGCCCGCACTGACCCCGGCCCAGCCCCAGGGATGCAAAGGACAGCGGGGACCTGCCTGGTGCAGGTGGTGCAGGTCCGCCACGGCCGCCTGCCCGCGCTCACCTCGTCCTGTCTGGCCTGGCCTGGCCTGGGGGCACCTGGACAGGGAGTCGGGAGGGACATGGGCAGAGGGGGTAAGATGTAGATCTAGATTTTGGTTCCTTGTATACAGAGGCACCCCTGTCTACTCCAATATAACAACACCGCGGGTGTGCCTGTCTGTCCTGGAGCTGCAGGGTAGGGTGCGGGAGGGTGTTTGCAGCAGGCCGGGAGCCAGGGGTTGCAGCTGGGGGTGGGGGAAAATTTGCAACCCCCCTGCTCCCACCAGAGTGCCCAGCCCAGGGGCTGCAAACCCTGTACCCGCTCACACAGCCAGCTGGCACTGCTCCCCCGCACCTGCGCTCCTGGGAGGGCTGTTTGCTGCCGTCTGGCCCTGGGCACTCCAGTGGGGGGGTGCAGCCCTGCTCCCCCTGTCCCATCCCATCCCATGCTGTGCACTCCCCACCTCCTATGCTGCCCTGCCCCTGCCGCTGCCCCGCCCATGGCTCCCACGACCTGCCAGTTTCTTCCCGGGACCCCCGGGGGCTCTGGGCTCTCCACCGGCTTGTGTGTGTGTGTGTGTGTGTGTGCATGCATGAGTGCATGCTTGCACGTGCCTATGTATCCATGCATGTGTTTCTGCATGCATGCACAAGTCTGCGCGCACACGTGAGTGTGTGCTTGCATGCGTCTGTACACTCATGTGTTTGCATGCATGTGCATGCATGTGTGTGCACGCATGTGTTTGTGTCTGCTTGGTGTGCATGAATGTGTCTACATGCATGCACAAGTGTGTGCATGTGTCTCCATTTTGTGTGTCCATGTGTACCGGGTCTGCATGCATGCGTCTGCATGCTTGT